TTTAATTGTATTATTTTCTATTACCTCAACTACACTGCGTATACTTAATATTTGATAACAATGATTTTTTTTCAATATGAACGTTTTAAATTAAAAACAACTAACAACGTACTTATTTATTTGTATTATTTTCTACTACCTCAACTACACTGCGTATACTTAATATTAGATATCGCTGATGCAAATTTATGTACATAAGTTATTTAAAATTTGTTTAAGATTAAGAAAAGATCTGGGATCTCTTTTTCTTTTAAAGTAAACCCTATATTCTTACAAACATTTTAAAGAAATTATTTACATGAATCACAGCCATGTAAACATGGAGATAATTCAAGACCACAAGCTTATATTTACAAAACCTTGCCAGGCCACACATATTCATTATATCACTCACCATATAATTCAGTTTTGAGGCCATATCCTTTTGGTCCAATCTGTTGTGTTGACACTTGTTTGGGTTGTCTTGGGGTTTTTGTTGGGGTATATTTGCATATATGTTTCTAAAGGGAGTGCTAGCGGCTTGGATGGGGGCTTGTAACATATTATGATAGTGATAGATATAATCAAGTTGGGCAAACATCAACAAAATATTAAGTTACCCGCGGGCAGAGCCTGATGGTCCGATGTCTCGATGTCCTGATATTCTCGTGTCCCTCACACATGGCGTGTATGTCCTTTCGCTTACAGCTACAGCTACAGCTACAACAACAACTACTACTCCTGCTCCTGACAAAAACAACAACAAAAACAATCAGCTAAAATGGCAAAAAGGCAAAACAAAAAAAAAAAAGACCCGCGACAGCGTGACTAAAATGCGCACGTCAATCCTTTTTTCCTTTTATTTTTTTTCACCCACCCACACACTCCCCTATCCCCTCCCCCTCCCATTACCCTATCCCTTTTATCCTGCCAGTGTTGTTCTTGTTGTTTTTGTTCATTGTTTATTGTTTTTGTTGCTTTTTTGGTCTTGTTGTTGTTGCCGTTGATTTGGGCGCGCCAGAAGTCGGCCATGTTTACGTGCTTTTTAAATAGACAAGCGACGACGACGACAGCAAACAAATAGAAAATAGCAAAAGGCAAAACGCAAAACACCAAATATCCAGCGAAAATACGAAACGCAAAGCAAAGAAAACCTACGAAACAAAGACCCGGAAAATAGATATATATTACATAGATCGAATTGTTTAACACTCTTTTACCTGACTTTTTTAGTTGCTTTCAACAATTTACATTTAAATTTTGCATGCCTTAATGCTGATATTTTTAAACTATTTTAAATAAGCAACATTTTTGTTTGAGTCCTATTGAAATATAATTTAAAATAATACATGTTTTCCCTTTGTACAGGTTTTATAATTAATCGCAATTTTTATTTAAATGTTACCTAATATGATTGTTCTTTTTTTCTAAATTTGTCAAAATCACTTCTTAATATAATCATTTTTTAAATTTAACTATTTTAATAGAAGGACTTATAACAAGCTTATAAAGCTCAAAGCATTTTCCAATAAAATCCCAACTAGAGTATCAGAAATCAAAAAAGAAATACTGGCTGACAGGAGAGGCAAACAATATTGAGCGCAACTAAAGTGTCGCCATTAATTTCCTGCAGGAAACACAATACGAAATACAAAATAAAACTCAGCATCGAAGCTGAAATTGAAAACCCCGAAAAGGAAGCCCAAAGGAGATGCCTGGCGACAATTAGCACGCATTGGCCATAACCATAAACGGCAAACAACAATTAGCAGCAACTATTTTTGCTTATTGGCCCTAAACTAGAGGTGGTCCCAGGGGGGGTGAAATGCTGAGGGGGGGCAGGGGGGTGGCCCAGACGGGCCAGCAGACAGAAAGTTGTCAACGGCAACAGAAATGATAAGAAAATTTCATTTGTAATTAATACTAAAAGGCGCGACTGCGAAAACAGAGAGGGGAATTTCAGGAGGGGCGGAAAATGCGAGGTAGCCACAAAAGCGACAACCACAAGCCGAGGACGAAGGAGCCGGGGGTTGCGGGGTCGTTCAGACGGCTCTGCTGCCATGACACTGAATGCACTGAGAGAAAAATGTGCCAGTTCCATTATATTTATTCAATTAAAGGGGATTTTAGAAAGAATGACTCTTGTTCTTCAGAATATTCATTTTAGTATTATATACAAGACCTAAATAGGTGATAAAATTTAAACATTTAATGTTTGGCATCAATAACATATTATTTTTCAATAGAAATTTTTCAGAGTTCCTACTGCTTAATTCAATAAAAATTAATTAAAGTATAGATAAAAGATATGTATACAATTTGGAATCGTTTACTAGTTAAGAAACTAATAGTATTTGATTTAACAAACTTAATGGAGTTTGATTGCCAAGGAAATTTGTCTGATTTAAAAGCAATTTTTTCAGTGTATCTTGGACTGGTGACTTTTTGCTCTGCTCTCTCGCTTTGTCACTCTCCGTTGCTTTGTGCAGCCATAAAAATTTGTTGAACATTTTGTTGCCTTTTATGATTGCGAATGCGAGACGAAGGAGGAATGGAAGAAGGCCAAGAAGAAGCCAACAGAAGGATCAGGTGAAGCGAGTGGGTGAGGGGATGTGCAGCCAGGTGAAAATTTATAAATAGAATTCAATGAACAAACAAAACCAAAGGAGAGTGGAGAGTAAAAGAACCAGCGAATTGAATAGAAATTATTCGAGATGTTTTTCAGCAAAAAAATAGCTCAAAAATCTTTTGGCAAAGTGTGTAAATTTGAGAGAATAAAAACACCTAGGGCTTAATGGAAAGTTGGACACTTGGACATTGGATGTTGAAATAAACGTACGTATTGTTTAAATGGGCTTTCAAAGGTGTCCATTCAGAGATGTAATCAGATCTCTAGAGATTTAAAATCTCTTTAGTGCTCAAATCATATGTTAAAAGACAGAAAACGTCAAAGCTCTTTATACTTTACTTAATATTTTTGGAAACTGAAAACCTGTTTACTTATTACCGTTACGAACTTGTAGGTTTTCATGGTTATTAAGGTTCTTAAGAATTTGGGTAATCAACATTTTTGGTTTTGCTGCTTTTTTGTTTTCCACGCCGCTTTAAAATGAAATAAATCTTCAAGTGCACCACAAAAATCACAAATGGCAAAAGGGGTTTGATGAATCACAGTTCGCAACCTTCAGCCACAATTTGTCGACAGCGGGTTAAGCCCCCCTTTTGGCTGCTTAAGGGTTAAGAACCGAGAATGGGCGACTGCAATGACGCTGAGCATTTAGAAATCCATTAATTTCAATCATTGCCCATGACTTTGCATTATTATTATTATTATTGTTATTACTCTCGTTGATGTTGCTCTTGTCGTTGCCTTTTACTTTTCGCTTTTCCCTCATCAGAAAATTTCAAGGTTTTTTGTCCTGACTTTCTGTTTTCAAAGGGGTAAAAAAAAGCAGAGAACTCTGGGTTGTTTTGACCCAAAGTTTGCGATGGCGAAATAGTTATGTAGTGGAATTCGCGAAGGAAGTTCTGATGATTTTTTTTATATAATAATAAATAGTTTTTAGTCGATACATTACTTTACGACTACCATTATATATTTGTAAATATGGTTACGATTTTATCTTAACAATTCTGTTAGGGAGAAAGTGAGGGTTAATTTTATTGTAATTGTAATATACCCCTTTAAAACAGTTCGTATTATGACCCAAGTTTTGCTCCAAAAACTATATTTCCCCAAAAATCCGTTAGTAAATATACCTCTTTTTACCTAATAACATCCTTCAGAAAGTTTCACAAGAATATCTGGAGTGGAACTCGAGTTCGTTGGGGTTTTTTCCCCGAGACCGAGGAACTCCTTGTCGGAAACTACACTGCATTTCGCACTGCACTTTGTGGGGAATCCAAAGGATCTGGAGGGAGGGGGGGCATGGCGGTTCTCTTAACGCGTTTTAATGACTCAACATTTCTTGACTTTGATTCGAGTCGCGGAAGGAAAGAAAAAGTGCAGGTTGCTTGTCGAAAAGGGTTGCTTCTGGCCAAAGGCATTGGCCCGCTTTTTGTCGGCTGTCAAAATAACAAAGTGCTTTAGCTGCATTCCCGCCAAGCCAGAAAAAGTGAGGTTAAAAAAAAGGCCAAAGGCAAAAAGTGTCGATGAATGTTAAAGTTAACAAGTGACGGAAGTGAATTTACGGGGCGAGCAAAAAGAGCAAAGCAGCCGCAAAACAAAAACGAGCCAACGAAACGGCGAACAAAAAGCGAAAACCAACTTGAACACGAAAAAATTAAAAGGCAAGTAAGCAAAAATCATTTTCACAAAGTGCAGGGCACGAAGGACCCCCTGAAAAAGTGTCGAACCAAACTGTTGATGCCCTATCGTTAATACAGAATAAATTTCAGTTATGAGCCAAATAAATGATAAATTATGTAGTGGAAAATAGAGGAAAACAACTGCATTTTGGTTTAAAGTTATTTTGCAAATCTAAATCTATACATTTTTATTTATATACGTATATATATTTAATATGTATTGCATTTATCAAGTTATGTAGTACAAAAAACTTTTTTATTTTAATAAAATAAATATTTTGGATGTGCAAAAATTTATTCTGGGATTATCGAAGATCAAAGTTACTAGTATATTTAGGCGGTTGAATTAATAAATACATCTCTACTAAAAAAAATTAACCAATTAATTAATGCTTTAGATGTTAATAAATTAGTTGGTATGACAATGGTCAAAAGCCAATATGGAACACAACTAAATAACCACTTTAAAATCTCAAGTTAAAAGGAAAGTGCAGACTGCCTGTCTATAAGTCATTGCAGTTAAAAATCCCTCGAAATCTCTCTGATATTTCCCTGTATATTTAATTCCATACCTTTGCGCTTTTCCACCAACATTATAAGGTATTACCGCTTGGTATATATTGACCCAATCAGATTTTTGACATGTTCTCGCGGCTTATATTCATCAACTTGCAATGGAAATCTGATGCACTTTCCCCGCTTTCTCTTTGCAGTTCTGCTCGCCGTCAGCTGGGAGGATTGGTGGACATACGATGGCATCTCGGGTAAGCTTTTTCTGACCTCCCCCCCCCCCACACAGACACACCCTGTCCCTTTAGCCGCCACCGTTTAAGTTTCATAAATACCAACAACAAAGTAAATTTTAATCAAAGCTCAACAATAACCACGGACGGAAGCGGAAAGTAAAATTTCAGCCAACGAGCAGCACGCGTCGCTACAGCAACAAAGTTGAAAGTTGGATGGGAAAATGGGTGAAGAAAATTGAGGACTGTTTTTCCACGGGGGGACGGGGGTTTTTTCACCTGCTAAGGGGTCGCGGAAAAGCCATGGCGATTGTTGTTGCCGGTGTAAAACGATTTTCTCAGCGACTGAAGCTGCACGCGTGAAATGCATGGAAAAAAGGCCAAAGGAAAATGGATTTGCAAGGGAGTATGGGGGGTGTTGGAAAATGGGGGAAATGGAAAAAAGGGGGAGACGAAGCCGATTTGCAGCTGTCAAATGGAAAGGCAGACAAAGTATTCAAAGACCCAGGCGGAGAAAGAGAGAACTTTCCTTTTTTTGTCATTGTCTGGCGTTGAAACGTGATAAGCAGAGGCCCAGACGGGAGCAAGAGAAAGAGAGGGTGCTAGTGGCAGGGGAAAGAGATGGGAATAGAAGCAGAAGAAAGAGAGGGGAATAAGAGCAGAAGCAGGAGTGGGGGAAAGACAGGGTCTCCAAATGCCATCGCCGAGAAATGGAGAACAGTTCACCATGTGTCACTACTGGCGGTGAAATCGGGACAAAGGTCCGTGGAGATTAAGTCCAGACAGGACAGCAGACAGCCGATAAGCGTTGCTCTTTCTCCCTCTCTCCTCCAGCCACGCCCCCGCCCTCTGCCCCTGTCCCTGTCCTTCGCTCACTCTGCATTCTCCCTTCGGTGGAAGCATCTTTCTTAATCTTATTAGAGACACAACGGCGACGCCATTTGCACAAGACAAATGCATAAATAAGTTCAAGTGCTTTGAATTTTGAATTGGATTTGGCGAACAGGGAAAAGAAGAGTGGAGAGTGCAAGATAGGTGGCGAAAAATCAAATTTAAAGTGAAGCAAACTAGGAGCATTTTTGTGACAGAAAAGAAACCAATTTATAATTTTGGCTTCTTTAAGATAAGAGTGCAATCTAATATAAATCAGCTTAATAATTTGCGTATATGCGTTGTTATTTATTTATTTGTTTTTATTACGAGGGAAAAATATGCACTCAAAGGTTTAAAGATCAAAATACATGACAAATAAGTCTTAATTTATTGTGGTTTAAGTAAGGTTTTTCATTTTCTTGGGATAAGATTAAAAGTGCATTTTGTATATGCACAAAAAAAAATCAAAATTAATTATATAAAAAGAAATTACGCAGGAGCATTAAAACAATGGAATAGAAATCCATCTTTTCTCACCGTGTAAAAGCGTGGAAACAGGGGTATCTTGTAACACGTGTTGTCAACAAATTGCAACCGAAATCCGAGGCGAACTTTGTGTCTCTTTTGGCATAAATAAATTTACATAAGCATTGCATGCATGTCGGCTGGAGGACTCGAAATCCCTTATCAGGGGCGCAGCTGGGTTTTTAGGGGGCGTTGGGTGAAATGGTTGTGAGAGGGGGTGCCCGAAAAAGACGGCTAAGCTTCAGCTTCAGCTGCAACTGCAGCTGCAACGTGCCACTTGTTTAACGTGATTTGCACTCCCAACGAGCCAAATAAAAGCGGCCAAACGGAATCAAACGAAGCGTGCTTCATGCCACCGCCTTTAGCAGCACCCAACCACCAAACTAGTTGGCTAAAAAACGTGCCACCACCTTGCAACACCACCCGCCAAGGCAACAGCCCGTGGATCCACATCCAGATCCAGTCAGCCAGGCCACTAATGTTGTTAATGGCTGCTAAAATCGTTTGGCAATTGCCTCATTGACTCGACTCGACTCGACTCGACTGCCACGCCGAAGCCAGACCGCAATTTAATAGACTCGAGACTGCAACATCCTACTCGGCGTTATCTGAAGACTTTTGCCCGTACTCGCACTCGTATTCCCCGATTATCTCCTTTCCGTTAAGTGCACTGGTGATGAGCGCGTGACACGAGTGGAAAAATATCCTTCAAATCCTTAAAACCTCTTAATAAGCTGCTTATAATATATCTAAAATAATAAATTAAAAAGCAATATAAAATAAATTGTTAAAGTTGTGTCCGTATTAGACTTTCAAGATTATAAAATGAAGCTAATCAAAAGCTAATCTTTGATTTAAATCTAACACTTAAAAATAATATAAAATATCAAAGAGTAAATGTTTCAATTAAATCAGACAATAAAAAATGCGAATAAGCCTTGAATTTAACAGTCACAATGCCGTATTTAAACTAATCTATTAAATTAAATCTAAAAGAAAATAAACATATTATATCATCATTAGAGAATTAATTGCCCGCGCGGCATCTCCAGTTTTTCATCATCAGCTACACTGGTTATTTTTCCCAGTCCTCGGATTATTTTCCCCGTTCCCCATCCTTTATTTTTATCCGCTTTTCTTTTGGCTTTACTTTTGGCTAATGCGATGGCGTCGTTGAGGTCAACAATCGCTTAAACGCGAGTACGTGGCATATCTATGATTGAAGCTCCTGATTGCGGCCTCGCAGCGAACGTGTTGATTCCCAGGCATCTGCCCCCCCTCCCCCACCGCTCTTTGCCACCCCTCCGAACTACGTGTCGTATACGCAATGCGACTGCAGGCGAAGCATTTTTATGGCAACGGGCAAGGGGGGAGGTGAAATTCTGTGGGAATGTGTGCCATAAATGGGATTACAAGTGGCTGGAACGGAACGGACTCGAATAGAACGCCCAGAAGAGGTTTTAATAATAGGTTGATCCTTGAGAAAGCAAGCGAAAAACATGGGAAATGAAAGGATAAACGGAGAATATAAATAAAATCCATAAACTCAATTAAGGAAAGGGCAATTAAAAATGTGGAAATATGTGGTATAAAATGGAAAAAAATAACACCTCTTAGAAGGTAATTAAATCGGATTTTAAAATTCCTCCTCATAAAGTTATACGATGGTATAAAACAGTATAAATTAAAATGGCTTATAATCTAGAAAAAAAAACCATTATGCATTGGAACCATAAACCCGATTGAGCATGATATAAGATTTAAAAAAAAACCGAATAAAAAAATGCGAAAATGAAACACTTTCAATTGCTGAAAATACAAGGGCCATAGATAATATCAACTCAACAATGGCAACAAACTGGCAAAGGAATGACTTGCCCTGGGAACTGGCAATAAAAAAGTCGGCCTATTGTTTTTTGGGGCAGCTCAGCTTGATTCCATATTGCCATAAATTAAGCTGCCGGGCCAGATAAAGTTGGCCAAAGCCAGGGACAGAGACAGAAACACAGACAGCGACAGAGACAGAAGATAAACCTGCAATTTTACTGTGAAAGTGGGTTGGAATGGGGGGATGTGGGGGATGGGATGGGGGAAAAACTAAACAAACCGCACGAAATTAAAGCAGTAAGGGGTCACGGAGATTGAGGCGGGGGCGGAAAAGATGGCTTAGTTGTGTGGCCAGAATCAAACAGACGCAAAAACCAAAAAACTAAACCGACGCAGACCAACACCTATGCAGATGCAGACAAATATTGTAATGGCCCCCTGACTTTTGGCCCCCTGTTGCCATTGCCCCCCTCCCCCGATACACACACACACATACACCCACACCCGCTATTGCCATTATGCAATTTGTGGCAGGTTTTTGCCACACCTCCTGCCAACCAACAACCCACAATTGTGGTTGGCAAGGAAACTTTGGAAACAGGTTGAGGTGAAACTGGGTTCATAAATCTCCTTGCCACCCGGACAGGGATCGATCCGAGGGTCTGTCTGATAAAGTAAACTATACCCCCCTCCCCCCCTGTGTTGCATTCGTTTCAGGTCCTGCCTTCTGGGGCCTCATCAATCCGGAGTGGTCACTCTGCAACAAGGGTCGCCGCCAGTCGCCGGTGAATCTGGAGCCACAGCGCCTGCTCTTCGATCCCAACTTGAGGCCCATGCACATAGACAAACACAGGGTGAGTCAAGAGATCGCCAGGGATCATCATTTGTGTATATCATCATAACATATATAATATATATATATAGCTTTATTTGTTATAAATTAATATGCATTGAAAAAAAAAGTGGTGTCAAAAAGTATGCTTGAAGAAGACTTTGTGTTTCCTTATGAATCCATTGTACTTCCGCACTCAAAGTTAATTGTAGCTTACTTTTCAACACTTTAAAAAGTATTTAAAAAACTTAAGCGATTTATGTTTATTCGTATATTATTGCCTTAAAAATCAAAAAGCCTTTATAACTCTCTACAAGTTTCCCAACTCTTTAGATATCTATTGTATAAAAATCAATGATATTTTGTATTTTGCTCGCAATCACTTATTTATAATGGATCTTTTTTTTAGATACATCAACTTACATCTGAGTTAACAAAGCCAAACAGACTTTGCCTAAATGTAAAAATGGATTTTTATTTATCTCCTTCTATTTTTGCAATCCCAGAAAATCACTGTTAAGCTTTATTCGGTGACTAATTACTTACGTATACTTAATATTTCATAAGAGTAAAAAATACCCCCTAACTATCTATGTATTCGTTTTCCGCATTCCCTCTAGATATCCGGACTGATCACTAATACGGGTCACAGCGTCATCTTCACCGCCGGAAATGACACGGTGGCCAACTACGATGGTATGCAGACGCCGGTGAATATCTCGGGCGGACCGCTGTCGTACCGCTACCGCTTCCACGAGATCCACATGCACTACGGGCTGAACGACCAGTTCGGATCGGAGCACAGTGTCGAGGGCTACACGTTCCCCGCGGAGGTAATATGCCGATATACTTGTGCACTGATATACTCTATATGCCATTTGCCCACTGGTGTCACTCTCAATTTCCTGCCCAGGGTGAGGCCTAAATGTGACATGGGCCTCCGCCAATGGAAGCTATTTCGGTTCTTCGCCTGTCAACAGATTTCCCTCTTTAACAATTCAATTGTGTCTGTTTCTATTTGAGGGGGGTGTTTGCCGGGGGGTGGAAGGGGGGGCTTGAGTTTTCCAACTTTTCTTGCGTCATTTCATTGCCATCCCAGCATTGTGGCCCTGCGCCAGTGGCTGTAAACTTGTTAGCCCGCCCGCTCAAATATTTACACAGATAAACGAGCGGAAGTGTATTTGATCAGCATTTAATGCAGCAAATGTCGATTTGTCGCTGACAAAAAACATAAGAAGGAGCGGGAATAAAATAAATAAAAAAGTCAGAAAGTCAAAAAAGTGAAGAGCTCGTCGGCGTCTTTGTCTGGAGTCACAGTCACTCGACGTTATCATCAACGCGAAGACATCGTCGCCAGGTTCAACATGTTGGAGATTCGCCCCACTTGTCTGGCGCTTTGATTTTCCGCCCCCACCCTCCGCTTTTCCACTTTTCCGCTTTCCCGCCCTCGGGCGCATCATTCATACTTTTCCGAGGTGGGAAATATTCAAAGGCAGTTCAGTCACATTCCTTATTTCATTATATAGTTATTTTTGATTTGTTAGAAATATTCTTTTGAATAATAATTTGGGTTCTTAAGAGCAAATATTTAAGACTAGTGTTATAGATCATATAATGTTGGGTTCATAAGATAAAAAGTTAATATTTTCCTTGTACAATTACTTTGGTTTTTATTCTATTAATAACAAGTTATAATTTGCCCCTTACTGTTTTAAATATAATTAAAATTCCGCATTTGTTGTATGTATGCAATTAGGCGAGAATACATTTAAAAATTTTATTAATATGGTAAAAGCATGCAGCAGAATTGCTTTAAATATATTTCAAGACTTTTTACGTCCAAGGAACTAAAGTGAATGATATGGAAAAGCGCTTTCCTCCGCTTTCTCACAGCCTGCTCTTGATGGCTGATGATTTTGTATTGTTTTATTTGTACATTGTTTTTGGGGAAGCAGGAGGGACATATTTATGTGTCATATAGCAGGCGTTGTTGCGACTCACCCAGACACCTTGTCTGTTTTTCCCTCCTGGTTTTCCCCTGCATTTTCCGGGCGGAATGTACACATGCGTGCGCTCGCCCCCCTTGTTTGCTGTTTGTCAAATATGATTTAACCTCTCCGAGTCTGTGTTTTGTTCATTTTGATGTCAAGTTCACACACAGGCTCGCTTCAGTTGATTTGCGAGCACGTTATTAAAAATATGTAAACACCCGCGACTTTCATTCAACAAAGGATTTCTGTTTGCGAAAAGCCAGAGAAGACCTTCTTAGTGGGTAATTTATTGCCTCAGATTTATAAGTAACTGCTAATCTCCACCATTGACTCGATGACTTCGTAGGATGTGGTGGGAATCCCTAATCTCTGACAAATTTCCCTGGCCAGATGTCCATTAATTAAAACACATTTCTTGTGAGCCAGATGTTTCTAGTCGAATTAATAAATGTCTAGTGTTAATGGAGTCATAACTTTTGTTAGCCAGGATATTGTGCAATTTCATTGGGCAATTTATGAGTGCACAACCCCCTTTATTACATTATACTGTTGGATTGTTCAATTTGTATAGTAATATATAGTAAGGTGAGACTGGTAGTGTCTTTTCTTTTGTCAGTTGACTTGCCTACCTACGTTTATAATTTTTCAGTTGTGGCCAATAATAGATTCTTAGCCTTTTAAGGGCAATTTTCGCATCTGCCCTTTTGCTCAGCTTAAGTGGCGCGCCTCCACAAAGCAAATTCCCGAAATCAAGAACTCTCCTTGGTGCTTTTTTAAGAACCTTTCACCGGCGAAGAGTCCTCCGCTCCGGAGGGTTAATCCTGTCGAGCGTCTGTCTGCTCCATGGCCACTTGACTTGACTTGAGTTGATTTGAGTTGAGTTGAGATGAGTTGAGTGGGGGTGCGGTGCGGTGCGGGTGCGGGTTGAGTTGAGTTTTCCTGAGTGATGTGCGACACAGTTTTCATTTTCAGTTTCAGTTTCAGTCCCATTTCCATTTTCGTTTTTCGTCGTGCGGTGCTTTTGTCTGCTTCTGATTTCCCTCTGATTTTCCCACTGCTTTTCCTTTTGCTGCCAGGCAATCAAAAAGTGAGCCACAGCTGCCACAACAAACTGCAGACTACAGGCTGCAGACGACAAACAAATAACGTTATAAATCTGTTGCATGTCAGCAGTTGGTGGCTGGTAACCTTTAACCCCCCGACTGTCGAGTGCCGCCAATGTCAACGCAAATTAATTAGAAACCCGCCCAGGGTTGAAGCCGCTCTGCTTTCGCGATGACAAAGTATGCCGTGTATTTTGGTTAAATTACTTCGACTGCCGGATTCACAGATTCACAGACTCCCAGCTTTCCACTTTCCCACTTTCCCAGATCCCCCAAATTTCCCAGCCTCGGGACCTCCAGAATCCGGCAATTCACTGCTCAGCCCCGATTTGTTCGCTTGTGCCAACAATCGGGTGATTAAAACGCATTCTGGCAGTCTGCTTTCCCGTTTCAAGCCCAAAGTGACAAACAATTGGCCAACTGAAATGGGAGCCGTGTCTAAGAACCACTTGCAAACTATTTTTAAACGAGGCGGCAGATCTGAAAAAAGAAAATCTAAAAATAAACTATCAATGCTGATTTCTTGCTAAAATGAAAATAAGTTGAACAGTCATAAATTGAATTTAAAACGGCAGTTAATAAGTTGGGGCTAAATAATATACTGGGGAAACCATTTCAGTTGTAATAATGTCTGTAGAGAATTAAATAGATAAATCTCTCATCTTTTCGATTTCATACTTTTAGACCACTTAATATGTGATTTAAGAAATCTTAGTGACTTTAAATATAGACTTGAAACTAAGTTTAATTCAATGAATTTTTTTAATGTGTGTGTTTAATTATTATTTAACTTATTGGACGTCAATGCCTTTTAAAGTTGTTTAGCAACTCAAGCCTAAACAATCGAATTTCTCCTGAAAATTCCTAGTTAATTCTTTTAAAATTCCCTGTCCGAAACTAACAACAATATTGCAGCATAGCCCAATTAATGTGTGTTGAAAATGTGGCCAGAACGGCCGGGTATCCTGTTCCCCGGAAACTGGTAGTCTATGGCCAATGTAAGGCATATTCCGGCCGTAACGAAATCCGCCTTAATGGGCCCCGCCTCGGAATTTGATCTGCCTTAATGAATTCGTAATTGGCAATTTTAATTAATCCCCATGAAATCCGCACAAGATTGCAGCCGTGTCTTGGATTTCGGTAGCCGGTTGTCATTGGATGCCGATGGCACACACCTGAGAGGTGTGGAAAAACGAGGGTTTTCCCGAAAAGTTGGGGGGGGGTTGTTGTTTTTGTAGGGGTGATTTTCTATTTGCAATGCACAGTTGTCTGATTTTGATTTGTTTTGGGCCGCGGTAATTTAGCACTTGTCTTGTGGCTAAAATTTAATTACCAGTGTGGGGAGGGGGGAGGGGGTCGAGGGTTGGGTTGTGATTTAGCGATGCCTGCGTGAGGCCAACTATCGCCAAGGGCGTACGTGATTCGGGGGCGTGATTCGACAGCGAAATTCACCGCACTCTGCGGGAGTTTCGCCATCCGGCAGTCACGTGCCCATCGGTAGGCGATCTAATGGACCGACCCCCCTTAACCCACTTAACCCCCTTCGTTATGGTCAGAACAGAGCCCCCTCCCCTTCACCACCCCACTGCCTGCGGTTGGCAACCATGGGCAGCAACCCAAAACCAAACGACCAACAACCGGCGATGGCTTAACCATTAATTTACGCGCTAACCATGAAGTACTTAAATATACAAATGTATCTGTATCTCTATCTGTGCGCAGTGTGCAATCCACCCAGCACGCCCACAAATGCCTGAGTGACTGAGCACGAACGAACGCCAAAATATTTGCTGCTAATGAGGTCGTGCTGTAATTTCCACTCCCCCCCTTTCCTTTCCCCCATTCACTCTCTGAAAATGTCGTAGTTCAACCCCTTCCGGAAAATCCATTTAAAGGATAACCAGCAGGCAGCGATTAAAGCTCGTTTTTTCCACCTTTTAAAATGCTACTAAGTCGTTAATGGGGCTTGAGCTGATTTTCAGCGGGCGGGTAATGAGTTCGGTGGAGTTCCTGATTGGATTATGATGCCAGGATAGTCAGGCAAGTCGGGTGCTAAGGCGCCAAGACGATGTTTAAAGTGGTTGGCTAGGAGAATTGGAAATGTCCAGGTGCCTGTATCATGTTCGGTTTTGTGACTTTTAAACTGCTTAAAAATATGAACTTTTTGAATTGTTTTTGTGTGTAATAATTCCTTCTAAAAGTTTAATATATTTTCAATATTTCTATCAACTGTTTTCCCCTTACAATCTTGTTAGAGACATGAATAAAATGTATAAAAAAGTAAAGTTAAGTAATAATGACTTTTTGCTATAGTGCGAATTAAAATGTAAATAATCAACCACTTTAAGTTAAGATGTTATTTAAATTAAGTGTATAGTTACATTCAATTCTAAACAAATTTTTAAAATACAGACCGCAGCTTGTAGCTTCCTTACATTTTAATTAAATTTTAAATATTACCAAGAACTTGCAGATGCAATAGCAGTTGTTTGGACATTTATATTCCATTGTTTATGCATTAAAGTATTTTATTATTTTTTACCCTGATTTTGCAATCCAGTGCAGTTGCCTTGTTATCCTGAAAGGCTACCTTTGCACTCTCAGCGTTTCCATTTGGTCGCGTTTTCAAAACGCCAGCAAATCGCGTTGGCCTCCTGCTTGTTTTTCCTCGGCTCTTCTTTATCTCTCGCTTTGGTGCTGGGCATAATTAGCCGAAAGTGCTACAAGTGCATCGGCAAAGTGCTCCAGGAAAAGGGGGGCCAGACGGCCATGGCAAACATTGCGGCCAGAAATGGAGCGATCTGGGCCCGGTAAATCGGCTATCTCCTCTGTTCGCCTATGTTTTGCCCTGTTGGTGTGCGTGTTTGACAATGTCCCCAGTGCGTTGTTAAGCTAATTTGCTTCATTTGTCTAGAAAACTGACACAGACCGAAATGGGGTAGGGTCTAAGAGGGGTGTTCGGGGGGGGTCAGACATAGGCGGCAAAGTGTTGACATGAGGCCATGTTCTCGGCCTAAACCACCAAGCTACGGCTCCTGCTATTCTGGCCATGGCCAATATTATCGTGCTCGGTCAGTGCAGCACGAAAGCCAAGTCGAGCAGCTGAAGGACCAAGAATGCCGCTCCCCTCGTCCTTCGTCTTTGGTCCTGGGTCCTTCGTTATTCCACCTCCATCACCATCTCCCCAGCCAAACCAATAAGCCCACTGTTACCTCTGCCAGGAAAAATATTTGTGCACAGTGGGTTGGTTGGATCGAGTGCCGTACATTTCAATGGAAGTCTTCCATTACTGAAAATTCTTCCGAAGAAACCCTTAAGATTTCTGATTCAACAATTCCAGTATTACATTTCGAGGGTACAAGCAAGTGCCTTAAATTTAAGTTATTTTTGTATATTGGTTCATTTGTTATCTGTTCTTCTTACAAATCACAGAAATCGTAATGGTTAAGCACATGCCACAAATTATTAATAACTTATCAGAAATCTGTGGAATTAAATCGTCCAATGATAGTAACTATCTTTTTAGATTACAGCATATTATTATTTATTCATTGCTTTGACAATGGATTTTATAGTTCCTATAGGTAGAAATAATTTATAGCTGTTGTAAATATATGTTAAGAGTTTTTGAAAATGTATTTCTTTCTCATTATAATACTTAATAGTAGTTATATGTATCAGAATCATAAAAAAAGCATTTAATTTTCCTAAAATGTATTTTTCAATAATGCCTTTTTGGTTAATCCTTTAAGGTTCCTATCTGATTAACATTGGTCTGATCTTTCATTGTTGTAATATATAAAGAGGTATCCTTATTATATCTGAATAGTCCCACTGTGCAGCGCAGCTTATTGACTGCGGAAGGGCTGTATGAGGGGTTTATGAGCCAGAAGGATCCACTGTGCTGGCCAGGCAAAGTTTCAACAGCTGGCGTCGCGCTGGTCGCTTTGACTCCTGCGCCTGCTGTGGGGTTAAATGGGAGGGGAGGGGGGGTCGAGCTACGGGTTGGAGTGCGGACTGCAGGACTACAGGACTACAGACTAGGCCTGAGTCTGGGGCTCTGAGCTCTCTGGTCTGTGGAATCCATGCAGTGAAAACATGTGTAATTGATCTGATTAAGTTGCCTTTGCTCTGCGTGCCACTGTCTATGTGTGTGTGTGAGTATGTGTGTGAGTATGTGTGTGTGTGTTGGCCATCATGTACGTGTATCTGTGTGTGGACTAAGAAATATGCCAGAGGAGCTGGCTTTGTTCAAACAAACACTAGTGGGGAAAGGGGCTTCCCCTTAACACCGCTTAGGCTTTTGGCTCTTTGCGTTTTGGCCGGCTTGTTGTCCGGCTATTTGCTGGTACTTACACTATTTGCTCTCCTTGTTGTTCTTGTTTTTTGTTATTGCTTTTGTTGGCCTTATCCCTGTATCGTATTTGTTGTTCCTGAACCAGACACTCTGCTTGTATTTATTTGCTTTGCCACAGGCTTTGGCTGTTTAATGAAACGGAAATATAACATTTCAGTTTGCGGTCAAATATTGTATAATTTTTCCTTTTCTGTTGTTGTTGCTGTTGTTTCGCATTTGCCACTAAACACACAAAAAGAAAAAGAGGGCGTAGTTTATTGCTTTTATTATTCAATTTCATAGTTATTAGGTCGAAGGTGTGAAGGCATTCGAAATTGAGCAGGGTAAGTGGTTTAGGTGATGGTTAATTTTGTGGAAAGGAAGTCTTTAAATTTATATGTTTACTGTCAATATTTAAAGAATTTGTTATTAAATTTAAACAGACGGGTACTGAGGTACACAAATATGTTACTAAATGTGTTCAAATTGAAACCCATAGTATTTTATGGTTGAACAAAAATTAGTCTGCCCTAACTTTGATAGTTTCGCAACTAGTTTTGGCATCTTTACTTTTAATTACCAACAAAAAGTGCGCCATCTGCTGTTCAAGTGGCAATTCAGCTTCCCTATTTAGTTGTTCTGTTCTCTCATGCAGTTAACGCCCAGGATCTACTCCTATTTTTGGTATTTCAGGGAAAAAGCATTTTGTGTGAATGAACATTGAACATAGCTTATATTCGGACCGGGGCCAGTCCTTGCGGAGGAGAAGGGAAAACGATAAGGACTTTGCCATGGTCTCGTCAAATTTTCATTTGCATCTGCATTTTAAAATATATTCAAGTATATGTACATATATGTAGGAACAGTGCGTTTCGCAACAGCAAAATATTTGTGGCTTTATCTTGTTACAATACGTTGTAATACTTTCTACTGTATAGTATAAAAAGAATAATTTGGATTATAAACTTAGATTTTAATTTCTGAATACTGTTTTTACTATTTTTTTCTATTTAAATTTTTAATAAAAGAATTCAAATCTGTCTATCACATTTTCGAAATAGTTGAATCCCACTTGCTATTTTATAGATTTTTAGGTTGTTAGTGATTAAGTTAACTGTTTATTTGCGAAACGCACTGTATGCACCAAGTTCTTCATTTTTGATAGAAACTTCTGGTCTATTTGCATTAGCTGCCATTTTGGCAACCCACTTTCGCCGCCCATTTTCCGCTGCTCCGGCAATTGCAACTTCACCAAACACTCGGGAAAAGGAACTTTGGAAATTTTAATTTAATTTAATTTTTATTTGCCTTGCTGGGCACACATTAAAATTGCAGCATGTAGTTTTTTAATATTTAAATGTACGCCTCGCCGCCCATCATTTCGTCCTGCTCCTTGCTCTTTTCAGCCGTTCTCCTTTGGTCCGTGCAATTCCCAGGGAAAATGAAAAAAAGGAGAGTTAAAAGTCGGGACAGGACATGTGGTGAGTCCTGGGGGAGCGGTGGAAAGGGGGGTTTGGGGGGGGGGCTGGAAGTGTTCAGGACTACTACTATTAACTGCCCAACGCCTGCGGCCATGCCCACTGCCCATCGGTGGGCATGTGAGTGTGAGCTCTCTGCTATTATTATTATTATTTTCACTATTGTCTGCAGCATTTCCTTCCGTTCGGTGCGTCTGGTTTGGTCAACCAGCGAGTGCACTCACACCTACAGACACTCACACACACACACACACTTAAGCACACACACTCACAGGCAGAGAAACAAACATATCCCCGACCCAAATCCCACCGAAAATCCATGTACACATGTTACACTAGCTCACAAACAATTGTAGGGGATGCTTGAAAAGTAAACCAAAAAATCCCCAAAAGAAATACCAAAATAAACTATACCCACGTATTCTCAACAAAAGTTATAAATAGTACAGAAAATGTTGTTAAAAAGAATCGATCAAAACGTAACAATCACGATTATTCTGAAAGCTTTCTCGATAACCGATAAATCCTTTGTGCAACCCTCGCTTTGAGCATTTGCTTTAGGATTCATTCTGTGGTGTCGACTCCTTTCTTCCACTTTCTCCTCTCCTTTCTCCGCTCTCTTTTTCGGCTGTTCTTCATCTGTAGGCGTTTTGTTGTCGACATGAAACAAAAGTGCAAATGCATATGAGTGTGTGTGTGTGGGGGAGTGGAGAAGGGGGAATTAAGATTCTTGGCCTTTTTGGTGTCTTGGCTAAAAGCAAAATATTTGCCCGTTTTGTTGCCGGATCTTCTCTCCAAATGTATGTGTGTTTGCCCACGTGTTTTAGTGTTTGTGCTTGGATTTGTGTGCATTTTGTTGATAGTTGGGATTATTTTGGGGCAATTTATGCGAAACAATGCGAACGCTTTCGTTGACCCCTGCAACGCCCCCTTGTTGTGTTTGGTTGTCACCGCCTCTGTATGCATTTGGGCTTAAATTGAGCAACAATAAAGTTTTGGCCACAGCACACAAGAAATAAAGAACGAAGGCAGAAGAGACAAAAAAATGAAAAAAAGAGGAATACTCTTGCCCTTAACCATAGCTCTCCCGCTGACGCTCCATTTTTCCCTTTCTTTTCGCAGATACAAATATTCGGCTACAATTCCCAGCTGTATGCAAATTTCTCAGATGCCCTCAATCGCGCCCAGGGCATTGTGGGCGTTTCCATTCTGCTGCAGGTGAGTAATCCCCGACGGCACTCGGAAATTATGAGCGATAAATATAACACAAAGCCATGATAAATACGTTAATGTTGTTTTTTTATCGTGATCCTATGAATGCTCTGAACTGTAGGAGCAAATTATTCGAGTTATAGACTCTATAGCTAAATTAAACTTAATGATTAGTATCATTTGTAAAAAACCATTTCGAAAAATCTACTTTAATTCGTTCTTTTAAACCCTCTAAAGCGTTTATTTTTCCTTATTTTCCATAACTGAAATCAAATTTGAGTCAAGCCTTTGTTAATTAATTTTAAATCATATATTTCAATTAAGATAGAATATTGTGACTCTTAGTGTTTTACTAAATTGATATGATATAAAATGATATGATATGATACTAACTATTATTTATACTATAGCTCGGAGATCTCTCGAACCCAGAGCTGCGCATGCTCACCGATCAGCTGGAACGCATTCGCTATGGCGGCGACGAGGCTTTTGTCAAGCGACTCTCCATTCGCGGATTGCTGCCGGATACGGATCACTATATGACCTACGATGGATCCACAACAGCACCGGCCTGCCACGAAACAGTCACTTGGGTGGTGCTCAACAAGCCCATCTACATCACGAAGCAACAGGTTCGCAAAACAAGACCTAAGAATTAAGACAAGATACCAAAACTACCTATTTATATTTATTTTAATTTTGTAATTATTTAAACATTTATAGAGTAATGGGACTCTTGTTAAATTTGTGTGTAACTATTTATCAAAATAATCATTTGAGATATCGTCATTATTTATTATATAAGAATTACGCTTTAAGTTTATCCAAATCGGACTACAATATAATATAGCTGCAACGATGTCTTGTAATACAGTAACTTAATTAATACAGTAACTTTAATCCGATTCCAAAGTGGCATACCTCTAAAGACTCGTGATTCGATTCTCTAAAAATCTGCATTCAAAATTTTCAATTTAACGTTGATCAAATTTTTGACCCATTTTCATGTTAGTTATTTCTAATTTTCCGATGACTTGTAATACAGTGACTCAAAATTGCTCTTCGAGTGTCCATAACTTTTCCAAATTTAATCCGATTCTAAAGTGGCATACCTCTAAAGACTCGTGATTCGATTCTCTAAAAATCTGCATTCAAAATTTTCAATTTAGCGTTGATCAAATTTATGACCCATTTTCATGTTAGTTATTTCTAATTTTCCGATGTCTTGTAATACAGTGACTCAAAATATGACTTCTGGAGTCCATAACTTTTCCAAATTTAATCCGATTTGAAAGTGGCATACCTCTAAAGACTCGTGATTGGATTCTCTAAAAATCTGCATTCAAAATTTTCAATTTTGCGTTGATCAAATTTTTGACCCATTTTCATGTTAGTTATTTCTAATTTTCCGATGTCTTGTAATACAGTGACTCAAAATTGGACTTCGAGAGTCCATAACTTTTCCAAATTTAATCCGATTCCAAAGTGGCATGCCTCTAAAGACTTGTGATTCGATTCTCTAAAAATCTGCATTAAAAATTTTCAATTTAATGTTGATAAAATTTTTAACCCATTTTCATGTTAGTTATTTGTTTTCCAAATTTAAGACGATAATGCAGAGCGAAATTGACATAGCTTTTCATTGTTTGAATCCTTGAATCTTTTAGAATTGTTTAGAGTTTAGTTCATTATATAAAAAAAGCTTGGAATTGCTTAAAAAGAATAGAATAACTCTTCCACGGAAATGCAGCTTAAGTCAGTGTCTCCCTGCCAGCACAAAGTATAAGTCAGGAAATAATTTTTTCCAACCGAATTCATCAAGTCACCCCTACCACTTCGCCCCCGACCAAAAAATGAAAAAACATTTTGAGTGATGAGCACCTTAATGTTTGTTAATTAGTATACAGTGCTCCAATGTCCGGTGCTCCCCGGTTTCTTCTGTTTTATTAGCTAATTTCATTTAAGTTTTAAATTGAGTTGCTGCTGCTCTTGCTGCTGGAGGAGCAACAAAGTGGATAGTGTCCATAACTCAAAGGAATGGCGAGGAGCAGAAACAGAGGGAGAAAAAATTTAACACAAATGTTTATTAAGTGCAGCGCTGTAATAAAGACGCCAGCGGTGGGTGGTTGGTGGTTGTTGGTGGGTTTTGTGTGGGTTGGTGGGTGGTTTCCAGAGCGGTTGAATGGTGGCCAGCGGCATACGTGTAAACAATGTAAACAGGGCGGTGCGGAAGGGACACACACACAGACACACACACATGCACACTCGTACGCGACTGCAGCAGGCAGACTCATAAAAACTTCAACAAGCTCAATGGCACCCATGGGCACATGATTACAACTTGTGGCAGCCGTGGAGGACGCCGGTCCACGATTCTCCGGCAACGTAATTTACTGGCTGCACTGCACTAACACACACACACACTCGCGAGAAAGAGACGGCAAAGGAGTGGCAGAAAGAGAAAGAGAGAGAGAGACGGTAGACAGCGACAGCACCTTGCTGGCAAAACATAATTTACCAAATTAAAGTAACACCAGCGGACCAAAAGAGGGGCGCAATCGGGGCTGAAAGCACAGGAAGCTGCGCGACATGAGCTGAAATTGCAATTAACCCATTAACGTGCTCTCTGTCACGGCCGGAAAAGGAAGGCGATAGCGTCCGTAGGGTTAAGGATTTTCACACCGGTTCTTAAACTGAGTCACTAAAGTAAAACGTTTTTTTTTGTAGGACTGACTTTAAAACCATGATTATCTCTGGAGGTTTTAGATCTCTTTCAAAAAGAATAAAGCTCAAAGTTTTATAGATTAATGACAAAATGCAACGAATTTGTTTTTTCATTATATTCTTAATTTCTTTTTTAAGTGAGTTTAAAATTAGAGATTTTAGTGGCATGCCAAAAAAAACATTTTCAATTGGTATGTAAAAACAATTGGTCTAATATTCAATGGTGGTTAAAAACATCACAAGCTTTTGGCTTATAACCTTAATTTTTAGAACCACAATTCTGTCGGAAATGGACTTAAATTCTTGAGTGCCATTTAGTGTTGCATACTTTCGGGACATTCACACACACACACACACATACGCATACGTATACGTATACCCAACTTAATTCACACTTGAACGGGCACTCGTGGAAGGTCCTCTTTAGTACCTCCCCAAACTGAATCCTTAACCCTCTGAAGCCCCCGCTCTCCTCAATCAACATCAACCCGGCCACGTTGTCGTGAAAAGCGATTTTGACGGAAGTCAATTGATAAACAGATTGAGTAGATTAAGTGTTATTGACTCGTTGTTGTTACTGTTGTTGCTCCTGTCGTCTCATCGATGCTATTCTGTGTGTGCGTGTGTGTGTGCATGTATCCTTTGTGGTTTTTTCGAGTTTTTTGCTCAGCGAGTGCTTATTTTTAGGATTAGCAATTTGTGTCAAGCTTGGATTTTTGTCAAGTGCGGATCGATGGATGTCGTGTATGGGAAAAAAGTTTATAATTATGCACGTTAAGCGCTCGACAGACTAGCAGAAATGGATGGATGGGCCCTCCGGATTATCGCCATCGACGGATTGGCTTATTGTCGAGCCATTGTTGATCCACTTCCGTGTCTCGAGGATGTTCGAGGTACGAGAGTAGGCCCTTCAGAAATTATGGTTATGGAAAGACAACCAAAAATATCTTTAGCAATAATTTTAAGGAATATTAAACATATTGGGAAACCCAAGAACTCCTAAACCATTAGGAATAGACATTTTTAAGTTTTTGTAACGAAGTGTAGGAGACTTCACAACCTAAAAATTGTATATTTTCGATCGATTTCAGGTAAAAAAATTTTTTGATCAATTTTCGCATTTTTTAAAATGGGTTTTCATGATTTTTTTTGCGAAAATCGGACGAATTCAACAATGACATTCTAACATTTGACCAATATTTTCCCGGGTTTTGATCAAAAAAAACAAAACTCAAGTTATTTTTTCGGTTCTCTCCTGCAGTACATTTGTCGAATTATTGTATTTTTATACCCTTGCAGAGGGTATTATAATTTTGGTCAGAAGTTTGTAACGCAGTGAAGGAGACGTTTCCGACCCTATAAAGTATATATATTCTTGATCAGGATCACCTCCTGAGTTGATATAGCCATGTCCGTCTGTCCGTCTGTCCGTCTGTTTCAATACCGTTTGCGAGCTCAGTTTAAAAGCTAGCGATCTGAAACTTTCACACTCGTCCTAAAACATGTGTACGCAGATCAAGTTTGAAAATCGCCCAGATCGGACGTCTATATCCTATGGCTCCCATAGGAACAATCGGATATATCTTTCAAGAATTGATGATATTTCGCGCAGTGTAAAAGCTATTGACATGAATCTTTCCAAATCGTATTTTTTTATGCATACCTTGATCAGGGTAAAAGCACGTGGCGATCGGACGTCTATATCCTATAGCTCCCATAGGAACAATCGGATATAACTTTCAAGAATGGAAGATATTTCGCGCAGTGTAAAAGCTATTAACATAAATCTTTTTCAAATCTTATTTTTTTATGCATACCTTGATCAGGGTAAAAGCGCTTGGCGATCGGACGTCTATATCCTATAGCTCCCATATGAACAATACGGTGAAATCGGTTAAAATGTAATGATTTTTAGGATATTTCGCACAGTATATAAGCAATTGACATGAATCTTTCCAAATCGTATTTTTTTATGCTTACCTTGATTAGGGTAAAAGCACGTGACGATCGGACGTCTATATCCTACAGCTCCCATAGGAACAACAGGGTGAAATCGGTCCAAATTTGTTGGTTTTCTGAATTTTTCGCGTAGTGTGTAAGCTACTGACAGCTTAGTTTATTTATGTAGTTTATTTATGTATATCTTATTCCTTTCGCTACTTTTTCAGTTTTAGCAACTTCGGCAAAGTCTGCAAGGGTATTAAAACTTCGGCTTGCCGAAGTTAGCTTCCGTCCTCGTTTAAATATCTAAATAAACCTTTAATTTTTCTCCTTTTCCAGTTGCACGCCCTGCGCCGCCTGATGCAGGGCAGTCCCGACCACCCGAAAGCGCCCCTGGGCAACAATTACCGGCCGCCCCAGCCGCTGCTGCACCGCCCCATCCGCACCAACATTGATTTCAAGACGACGAAGACGAACGGCAAGGCCGCCTGCCCCACCATGTACCGCGAGGTCTACTACAAAGGTTGGTATTTAAATAAAGATATTATTATAAAACTAACACATAATAATTGTAATTGTCAAAAAATCAAAGCCAGAAAACAAAAAAAAACTTTATAAACTTATAAAATACTCTGAAAAGTCTCCCTTTATATACATACTAATCATTATTTAATATAATTTTATATAATATTTATATTTAATATAATTCATTTGAACTGATTTAAGAATATAAAAGATTAATTTATCTTATACTACAGGGAATAAAGTTATGTTATATTTCTCAGTTACTATTAATATGTGACCATTTATGACATAGTCTCAAGTCTGTAATAATTAATAATTCAATTATACTTTCGCAGCGACCAGTTGGAAACAAAACTAGAAATCATAGACGTGATGGCGCAACGTAACGTATCGTAAACGTATGACGTAAGTAGCGAGCGGCGTGCAACAGGAGCTTCCACTAAACATACATATAAACAAGGCGATGCCGAAGGAAAAGGATACGGGAAGGAAGGAGCAAATTGGAAGGGGGACAAGGACGAAAAGGATCACAAAGGAATCAGCGCAGCAGTGGCCAAAAATGGCGATCGGAAATACACATATACATATAAATAGGCAGAGAATAAACAAAGAAATAATATGGATAGCGACTACGATTACGATAATTAGCATTAAATGTGCATTTTTTTTGTCTCTCCCGAAAATCAATCAGACCTTGATTGCAGTCAGAGGTTATTTTTTTTTTGTGTGTGCGTAGCGTAAGTACAATAACGATAACGATAGCAATGACTAGTAATTATAATTACCCACATTACCATTAACGTAATCCGTAAAACCAAATAATACTGTATATTTAAAGTTAGGCCTGACAATGTGAAAAGATCAAAATAATATACAGAATACGATTATCATCGGTAGCCGGCGAAGTGCTATTGCTGCATTATGCAAAACCCACCCAAAGAACAGACTTTAAATCCACTCCCATATCGGTGGATATATAAAAACAGTTTGTTTATGCCCCGTAAATGTGTATAGAGCGGACTCAGCTTGCGAGTGTGTGTGTGTGTAAATTAGGTAATAATATTAACAATAATCAAGAGTTTATCTCTATAAGCACATCTACATGAGATAATAACCACAGCGCTATAAATATTTATTGCATATTTGGCCGTTTTCATACAAGTCTAGTTATGTTTTTAAGTTTTAATTTTATTAATTTTTTTTGGTGATACAATTTGTTTTTATTGTTTTAAAAAATGTATAGCCAACAAAAGGCTTGTCTAACTCAGACACATTTATTTTCATCTCTCGCTTTAAAAACATTCTCTTATAAATTTGTTTTAAAATTTAATTAGCTAAAACTTGAAGAACTAGCACTTTATTGGCATTATTATTGGGTCAAAAAAGGTCCCTGTAGACAAACAGCCAGCCATCAAGGGCTTTACATACTCGCACAGTTAATTGCAATTTTAAAATTATGAATTTGGGCATTTTTAATACGTAATCCCGATGTGGAGGCACCGGCAATGCGTGCATTTCGCATTTTAAATGCACTTGACCGCAGCATCCACTGTTTCGCCAGTTTCCCCACCGGCTTGTGTAACCGGGGACCTTATCAAACAAACCACCCTGCACCACCCTAAACCACCCATGAACCACCCACCACCCTCGGGCTGTCGCTTATCGAACGGCAAATGCAACATGAAACCACAAAATCTGTTGCGGTTATTTAAAATCACGTTTAAATACGAAAGTGCTGGCTGTCTCTCGCTTTGGTTTGGTTTTTGGCCAGCATAAAAATCAACTTTTTAATGGCCGAAAGGAAAATGATTACGTATACGCCGCGTGGTACAGGGACATGGCCAAAAACTGGCATAAGTTTTTTCCTGCACTGGCTCTCTGACCCTCTCGCTCCTAAATACCCCTGCAAAATCACATAATAATTTGTATAAACATTTGCATTATTTGCACAAGTTGACATTTTTGCAGTTGTTTTTGTGTGCCGGCATTCAACTGAAACTTTTCGAGCTCTTTGTTTCATTTAGTTGCTGTTCAGTTTATGCATTGTTTTTTTTTTTTTTTTTATATTTTAGTTTGTTGTTGTTTTGTTTCAGTTGTGCATCGAGGGATTTGCCATTGGGAAATTATGACTTAAATTAATACATGGCAAGTGTAATTTATTTGAGCGAATCAAGCGGCAGCTGCTGCTGCCGGCTGATATCCTGGAATTTTTAGGTTTGAAATGGAACTTGTTGGTTTTTTGCGTTAGCTAAAATATATAACTCAATTTCATATTTTTTTTTATACGCTATATTTGCGGTGAAGCTTTAAAATCTATAAACAAATAGGCTTGAAAATAACCAACATATTATACTTAAAAAAAAATGCATGAACAATTTAAGAAGGGTTCATAGTCTCTTCTCTTTGGTTCTTTATAAACTTCCCCCGTTAAAGGGTATCTTGGCATCCAATCAGCCAGCCACTCTGGTAACCAAATAAGCCCGACTAGGGAATCACCCAGTCCATCACTTTATTGGCAGTAAACCCAATTCCAACTTTGGGTGACTTTCAATCAATCAAATGGTTTGAGCGAGGCGGTACAACTCTGGCCAAACTGATTTGCGGTGAGTTCTGCACGAAGTTATGCTGCACAAGGGGGCGTGGGAGAGGTGGGTGGCAGAGGGGGCGTGGCATAACGTGGGCATGGCCGTGACTGACCACTGGAACTGGCCAGACTGGGCTAACCCGACACATATATTGGCAGTCAGTGAGCGAGTGACAGCCGCAGATTCCCAATGAATTCAAAGTGCAGGTAGATCAGCGGCTTCAAATTCATCCTTTTTTAAATAACACATGATTTAAGCTTTTTCAATAAATGTATATATTCTGGCCATGTAAAATATTCTCCTTCAAGAGACATCTTAAACTATATATCCCCTTTTTGCAGGGTATCTCTCTGTCTCATCTTTCTCATCCCATTTTATCGGTGCCATAAAAATTGTGGCGGAAAGATTTATTTATGGAGCAGAGGAGTATTTTTTACATCATTTCATTTTCATGCATATTCTGCATGAGAATGCAGTTGGCCATTTCGACTATTGGCCATTTTGGTGATTATTTTTAATACATTGAAGTTGTGGTAGTGGGTGGTGAATTGAGGGTTTTTCCAGAGCCAGATAAAAGACAACATCGATCATGACAGCCAGAGCGAGAGCAAAGCCATTCAGAACAGACCTGCAAATATTGCAATTTGACAAAGTGACAAATACGCTGCCATTCATTTCTCTGTGGGAGTGAGCTTTAAAATGTGCAAGGAGTCGACTGTGCACTTTCCTGTACCGAATAAACACCAATTAGTTATTAAATATATACATGAAATATAATTTTAACAATTATTATTAAGTTAAAGAAATGTGAACTGTAAAGGAAATTATATATCTGAAATATTTCACATTTATTTGGTAAGCTTTAATTTGGGTTTTCAATCCATTGTTTGTTGAAAAATAATTTAATTTGTTTTTTATATACATTTTTCTCTTTAATCTATTTTAAATTTATTATCACCTATTGTGAATATTGTCATGAATTCGCATTTTTTCCATTATCTAATTCGCATTTTTTCTATACCACTAAAGCTGGGCACAAAAAATGTGCAAAATGTTGCAACATTTTTATGAGAACCCATCAAACGCGTTGAAAGTGCAGTGTTGGCGTATTAAAGCGATAGTGGAATTCGGTATTCAGATGAATGGGAATGTCAGCTTATGATGTAACAGTAATCCACTGGGAATAGATACATAGTGCCCCACTGGTCAGGCTTCCTCGCGGCATTATCATATCTCGTTCCTGTTTTCAAAACCCGAACCCGGCAGATGAGCAAGGCCAAACCACTTTACCGACTGGTTATGCAAATGGCCCGAAGAACCGGGGGTGGCCAAACTAAACCCCCTTAAATAACACAACCACCCCCTATGGGGCTATCGCCGCTGTCCACACAAGACTAATTAAATTATGGAAATTAAATTGAATCGAGCATATTTGTTGTTTGCAGTTCATAAATTTGCGCAGCTAAAATGTCCGGAGCAGCTAATGTTCCGCCTCCGCCCCTTTGGCCGTGACGCCATGTAAATCATTTCACAATAAAACGCATAGCACAGCAGCAACAGCAACACCAACAGCAACAGCAACAGCAACTGCACAGCAGCAACATGCACGGCAGCAACACACTTAATTATGACATCATTAATTTTTAATAATGACAATTTTGCGACAATAAATCACTTAACTAACACAAATGCGCCCGACCAGCAATATGCATGAAATTAGTAAACTTTAAACAATGCCATGTGCGTGGGGGTGTTAAGCGGGTCGGTGGGTTAAAGGGGTTGGATAAGCAAATAAACAGATTGACTGTCCCCATTGCCTTGTCCTGGCATTGACTGATGGCAGCCAACACGAGGATGTTGCTGTGGGGCAGCTGCAATTGCGAGTGCCGTGCATGGGATGAATTTAATTAATCTCGCTACCGTCAGTTGCACACAATTGCAATTAACTTGCAACACTCGCATAATTACAGGCGACCTCATGTTTTGCTACTTATCAGCATCAACATTGACCCAGCGACAGCAACATCCAGCGGCATTCGTGGCAGACTGTGATGGCGGCAGTTGATACCCTGTAATTGTGGCAGATAAATTATAGTTCTTAAAGGCTTGGTTTTTTGGCTCTATCTTTGCCAAAAAACGATGCACCGATGTGAAGTTGGGGACCTAAACAATCAATTTTAGGTCGATTTAGACAAAACTAATTTTTTACCCATTTTGGTATTTTTCACAAGGGGGTACATCATGAGTTTTTGCCCAAAATGAGCCAAAAATTAAATTTTTAAGCTGTGAATGCCACTTTGTTGAAAATTTTATTACAAATTCAACGAGGTACGACATTCCAACATTTTACCATTATTTCCCAGGGTCTTGATCAAAAAACTTGTTTTTTCAGAAGGGGTTATGTTATTTTGTGAAATTTGGCGTTGTATAATAATTTGTATCTAATTTCTAACTGTGATTAAGTGATTAAGAAATACTTTTAAAGTTTAAAGTAAATTTAAAATTATATTATTTAAATTATCCCTAGTCGTTGGTACTCCTTATTGGCTTTTTAAGGGGCACAACGAGCGACAAGCTTGCTCTGACACATGGCCAGTTCTCCCTATCGCTCCCTCTCTGTCTGTCTGTCTATCTGTCTCTCCATCTATCGAAGTGTGTGTGTGTGTGGGGGTGGGTGGGTGTCTGGTTGAGTGTGTCCATGTGCATGTGTGTGTGTGTGGGTAGTGGTTGGCTCATTGGTCATTTGGTTGCAGCTCGGTTGGTGTTAGCGGTTGCTCGTCATCGTCATCATCAAGCTGTGTGGTTGTTGTTGTTGCTGCCTCCGACTGATTGCAAATGTTGTTGCAGTTGTTGTTGCTACTGTTTGTTAATGCCTGTAGAGCACAAAGCTGCAGCCTTGTGGTCAAGCGAGGCACCTGCCGCAGTCCCACCACCACCCATTTTCCATTTCCCATCAACCCACCACCCACCGCATCGCCACCCCGCCAATGTCACTGCAAATTAACATTTTGTAACGCGTTTCGGTTGCTGCCGTGTTTTCATTTCACACTTTGGCCGTGTGTCCGTCTGTGTGACATGCATTTGACACAGGAACTGGACAAGGCAATTGCCCAGGCACCGCCGCCCACCACACAACAACCACCACCCACCGCCCACTCTTGTGGCAAATTTGTTGTATTTGCGCCTGATTGCCAAATCAAATATTTGGCCCACAGAGCCAAAAATATATCACCAACGTTGGGCTATGAATCTGAGTTTTAAAGGAAATATTTTTCTTACATCTGTATAAATGAGTTTAGTCTTTTTAGGGACTTATATTTCAGAAAATTCAATTCAAAATACAAAAACTTATTTTACAAAATGACATTTCAATAGATGTATAAAAACCGCATCATTTAAAATAATAAGCGAACTATTTCAATTTATTTTATTATATAAAATATTCATTTTATATATATTCATTCATATATTATTTCCAAAACAATTCTTGTCCAACACATATTATTTTTCGTGTATTTTGTGGGCCAAGGGTCAGTAAATAAAGGGCCGACCGTAAAGGGTACGAAGAGTTTGGCTTCCATTTCACACGTAAATAAATAATAGTCTTCCGAAAGGAGCGAAGGGGCGCACATTTTTGGATTTCAATTTGGCAATAATTATTTAGTTCGCACAAACAAATTTGACCCAAACTGTGCTCACAATTCGGTGATTGTTGGGCAAATTCAGTTGATTTCTTGTTTGCCAAAAGACCACACACACACGCACACAAACGAGCCGGAAAATGATAAATTTGGGTCAAGCACCCAATAACCAAATGATAACCTATCGAACTAGACGATATCCTAATGTAACTAGGCAGAAAAGCACACACTCTCTGTAAGGTTTATATATGAAACGCAAAAAAAAAAGCAAGTTCACTTAGCGGCGTAGACAGTTGTACGGCATAATGTAAATTTTTTTGGAGCTGCAGAAACTTCACCGAATAATCCTATATATAGTACATATAGCGTAATTAAACATATACAAATATATTCATCACATAGTGAAACCAACTAAATGCTTTGTATGTTTAACGAATTAAGTAGCAAACCAAGGCGAACACCAAGTGTGTAGTGTGTAAAAAAAAGGAAAGCAAAATATTATAGCTAAATGATATATATGTAACTCCCCCAAAATCAGCTTGCCCCCATTGTTGTGTGTTAAAATCCCTCGAATATAGTGCTATATACCGACATGTGTAAAAAGATTTGCAGGCCACAAATTATATATATAATTATATACATACGTCATTAAAACTATATATATTAAAATATATATATATGTGTATATGAGGACAACAAATATACGAGTATATATAGAAGCGTTCCGTTTTTTGTCTCTGCTCGGGGCTAATCCTCGGCCCGGGAGGAAATTACCTGAAACAGCCCAACAATTACTTATTTCCGAAAGCCTTCACCTCGCTTTCGCCGCTTTAACGACAAAAGCCCAAGGAGGCGCAGGATAATGGCGATGCGGGGGCGTGGCACACGATGTCCCGTAAAAAAAACTAATTTCCGCCACGCCCACCGAACAACAATAAAGCTGCGCTGTTGTCGTTCCCATAAGAGGCACAAATTAAAAATCACATCCAGAAAAAGTAAGGACACTTTTAAATACCCTGGAAGTGTGCTGCCAATAATAGCTTAAGCTTGGTAAAGATATTATTTTTATAGTAATAGCTAAAAGGTAAGTATGTTTT